GACGCCGCCGCCCGGGCCCGGGGGGGCTGCGGCTACGGCGCCTTCCACATCCACAAGCAGGGGCACAGCCTACCCCGCTGAGGCCGGGGCCCCTGCGCCCGACCAATCAGCGCCCGGTTCGCGACGCCGCTGCTCCGGGGTTGGCCGGCGGGAGCTCGGCAGGCTGGGCTGCGCCGCGCCGCTTCCTGCTCCTCCTGGGGGTCGCCATGTTGTTGTACGGAACGGGAACCTGGACGGGAGGGAAGTCTGCAGGTCAACATCAGGGCCGAGGGCGGAACATGGACGCGGGGACTCTGCAGAAGTTGGACCTTGGCCGTAGGCCAGCCCTCCAGTCCGGACGTGCCCGGAGTAGTTGAGGTACGTGGGCGCCACCATCATGCTGTACGAACACGGCTGGCCCCGCCCCCTTTCCAACATGGCGGCCTCCTTACAGCTCTTCCCAGCCCTCCCTCGGGGCTCCCACCCCACAAACAAAGCAGCTCCCCAGGAGCCTCCGGCGGCCACCACCCCACAGAACCAGTGAGGCGCTAAGTGGGGAGCCTGCGCCGCGCCCAGGGCCCGGACAGCCTCCCATACGGCTGCGCACCGATCAAAATGGTGTCGGCCAGCTGGCGGGCGCCATCTTGGTTGACGGCGCCGCCGTACAGAACCCCCTCCCCAGGGAAGGGGGCAGCTGAGGCGACCTGTCTCCGCCATCTTGCTGTACGGCGGCCGCAGCGGCTGCCTGCGCGGGGAGGGGCCGGGCTGGGGACTGGGACTGGGACTGGGACGGGCCCGGCCGCGGGCCGGCCGGAGATGGTCATCTGCTGCGCCGCCCTGCACTGCTCCAACCGGCAGGGCAAGGCGCACCGCGGCGCCGTCTCCTTCCACAGGTAACCGCCAGGCCCCCGCCACCCCGGGACACGGGCGGGCCGACCCCCATCCTCCCCGGCGGACAGACGGGCGGCAGCGCCCCGCCCCGCACCTGCCGCCCCGCACGTGCACACGGGCTGCCACCCCCGGCCTCACGCGCACACACACACACTCACACTCCCAGCCCTCAGTCTTCTCTT